CTCCAAAACCAATTTACGAGACATATTTGGACTACCGAGTAGATTACAATACCTATATACAAATAAACGATATTCATCCATACAGAGTATCCCATGTTCGACACTTTTGCTGGCTATCTAATAATATCAAATTATCAATTCTTTTGGACTGCCACACGTATTACTTGAATTTATTTTACTGTTATTCCTTATCGTAACCTAACAACACAAAATTTCTAGAATTTATGGTTTCTAATTCCACCTTTATTTCAATTTATAATTTGTACCGAGTAAATTTAGTAGTCATTTTTCGTTGAAAACACGCTGCTACCACTGTAAGCGCTGAGCCTTCATGTCTCAAGGTAAATGTTTTTTGTGGGGTTTGCATGTTTTTTCACATGGTCCTATCGCGAATAATTTAATTTTGTGTCGTGATTGGACTCCAATGCTACCGGCCTTTATTGTCCCTTGAGATTCAATTATCGATTGCGTTTTGTTTAGAGAATAATGTGTCAAATAGCAAATTACAAGTTAAAATAATCATAATTACTTGCAACTAACTATGTTTACAAATATTTGGATAATTTTTTACATTAGTTGACATTGGAATTGAGACATGCAGTTTAGTCAGGTAGGTAGTACTCACCAAGTAGAATCGTGTGGTAGTATTAATTCCATTCGGAAACCAATGTAGCTTGAGATACAGGCTCCTAATGTTTTCTTAATTGGAGGAAATTCCGGTTAGTACGGCCCTGGCTGCAGCCCTTCGTCAGCTGTTCTCGCCAAATATGCATTGATGACGTCATTGTTTAGTTAGGTAGAGTTATGATAGACTGGAGTTTCTTTAAAGCCCCTGCCCGCCGAAGGCTGAAGCCAAGGCCGTACCTACCGGAATTTCCTCCGATTAAGAAAATTTTAACAGCCTCTATCTCAGTCACATTGATTTTTAAACAAATAATAAACAAAATTCTAATATATACTACCACACTACTTTACTTGGTGAGTACTACCTACCTCACTAAACTTAATGTCTCAATTCCAATGTCAACTAATGTAAAAAATTACCGGAAGAAGTAATCCGAAACCGGCCCTGTGCGGGAAACAACTACATCGATGGAAAATGTAAACAGTGACGGTTGTGTGGAAGCCAGCCAGGGCCGTACCAACCGGAATTTCCCCCAATTAAGAAAACGTTAGGATCCTGTATCTCAAGCTACATTGGAAACTGCAAACAGTGACGGTTGTGGAACGACCAATAAAGTAAATATCAACAGCTTACTACTGCGCTTCTACACGACACGATCCTTATCTACCAGCTATGAAACTTCGATGGTAGGTACCCATTCCATTATCGATGGTATCTCCGCATGTTAGGTAAATTTTGGCCATAAATTTCTCCCAGTTCAAAACAAAAAAAAAATGATAGAACAAGCTGTTCTATTCCTCCATCGTCAACGAACGAACCGAACCAACTGTATTCAATTATTCACCCCCTTATCGTTGTTATTATAATGGGGTACCGTCGTCTGTCGGTCCGCGGCGTTGCGATGGGTCTTTTCAGTCCTCTATCTTACTCCTCTCCCGGATTCTAATCACGTACGGGATCGGATACTGCCCTTAACGAGGAGGATAAGCCAACATGAGACCGAAGTTGATTTATGCGACAAGAAATGCTTTATTACCGCCCCATGTTCGCACGCAATACGAACCCGCTATAAATCTTCCGTCAAAGAAATACATCACTGTGTCAGTGGTGCGGCCAAGGAGCGTGCACTCTGTTAAAAGTAAACTGAAAATGGTTCTCGTCCTCGGTAGAAAACGGGAAACGCACAACACCACCGTCACGACAGAAGCCCCTTTTTCGTTACATTGTGTAATAATAATAATAATAATCATTACATAATTCAATCTGTGTCATTTCAACTTCTGGTACATCACTAAACCTTAATGATGTAGATTTTAATCCTGAGAACAAAATTATGAAAGAAAAATTAAAAATTGAAATGTGGAAATCAAAAGTGCTTCATGGAAAATACCCGAACCAACAACAGCAGGAACATGTAGATACAGAAGCTTCTAATATGTGGTTAAAAAAAGGAAACATATTCTCAGAAACTGAGGGATTCATGATAGCAATTCAGGACAAAATAATAAAAACAAAAAACTATGAAAAATATATTATTAAAAATCCCACAATTTCATCAGACACATGCCGAGCATGCAACACATCTCGCGAAACAATTGACCACATCACTGGGGGTTGCTCATTTTTAGCTAGCCGACAATACCTCGACAGGCATAATAATGTTGCTAAACAGATACACTCGCTGTTAGCCAAAAAGTTTAAACTCATAGATCAGATAGAGCCNCTTTATATAAGTGTGTATCTGATACTTTATTATAACTTACAATAAACTATAAAACCTGATATCAAAATAGCAGTTGCTTTTTATGATCCTGCCTATTTCGTTTGATTTTCATACTTGCTATTATTATTATTATCATCCAGGTATGAATCGATGTTATCGTTCTAGACCTAGACCACGGTTTGCAGAATAATGTCATCTCATAGGTCATGTGTAATAACCGTCAAACTTCTTAAGTAGAATAAAAGGACTCTTAGTATTCACATAAATATTAATAAATGATTTGAAAGTATCACGAGCCACGTTAATCACGCACTTATTGATTAAAGAAACGTACACATCATTTGGACTAAAAGTTTCCAACTTTTTCTGGTCTATCCCTTTCTTTAGAAGAAATAAATATTCCAACACCTCTAAGTTCATGCTTAAACTCGAATATGCAGATATATTGAATCTTAGTTCCTTTTTCAGTTGAAGTCCTTAAATAAAATTTTTCTAGTTAACACGAAAAATGAATTGTTACACTAATTGGGAATAGGAATATTAGGAAGGGAGTCAGACAAGGATGCACACTGTCAACTCTACTTTTTAATCTATACATCGAACTCGCGAACAACATCATTAAAGATACAATTGTAAGGGCAGATATACAGGGGTAAAAGATTAGTATCCTTGGATTTGCAGATGATACAGCAGTATTAGCATATAGCAAGGAGGAGATACAGATAACTTTAAATAAAATGGAAGCTGTATTAACAGAACAGTATTGTATGAAAATAAATAAAGTAAAACAAAAGTACTGGTATGCGCGGCGAAAAAGAAAAGGTTAGAATCGTTCGAAATGTGGTGTTACAGGCGAATGATGAGGATACTGTGGATAGAAAAGGTTAGAAATGAAGGGGTATTAGAAAGAACGGAGAACAGAGCATTCTATGGAAGTCAATAAGACATAGGCAAGATAGGTTGATAGGACATCTTCTCAAGTATGAAGAACTTGTCAGACATATTAGAGTCAGAAACAGGGGATAAGAAGAGTAGAGGTAGATCTAGATTAGATTAGTGTTCGCATATAGTTAGGGATGTGGGATGTTATAGTTTTAGGGAGATATATAGATTAGCTTAGGATAGGAAGGCGTGGAGGTACGTGTTAAACGAGTCATAGGACTGACGTCCTTATGATGATGTCACTAATTTCTTAAATAAATGGGCACATCACGGGCGGTCCTCTTGACTAGTTTAACTCCCTTCTTTTGCATTTCCATCTGTTATCGTCCCTATTGCAGGATTTTCAAATGTAATTGGCCTTAAGGATAAAACATACGTTCAGAATTATTTTTTAAATTTAGTAGTTTGGAAGCTAATTTTTTTTAATAAAAGATTTTAAAAGCTCTCTCTATGAAAACTATCTAAGACGCTGCATTGAGGAATAGAAAATACTAGAAAATAGCATTGCGTACCTACTTTTATTGAAATACGATAACTAAAGAAGTCCCAAAAAAATTTAATAGTATTTTAGTAGAATTAAGGTATTTTTCGGTTAATCTCTAATTGGATAGGATCTATTACATTTGTATAAATAAGAAATAGAAATAAGTTGTCAATGCTGGATATCCTCACATGACACATTCACTTGCATACCAGGTTATAGCTCAATAGTTCGGAAGTAGTCGAAGGGCGCCTGAATTTTGAATTATCGATTCAAAACTATGAAATTTTAATTAATTACGCCATTTTATTTTTAAATTAGCGTAACCTTTCTACTTGACAAATGATGTAATAACTCTACTGATCAAATTAAGGCTATAAAACTTTTTTATTAACTATTTTACTAAAAAAACTACGTTACTGTACATAATAATATTTAAACGTCCATTGCGATAACAATTAATTAAATAACTAATTTGTGCATCGTTGATAGTATGCATTACTATTTAAAATATTTATACCCCGACATGGTATACAGAACAAAAAAGAAGGAAAAAAAGTAACGTTATGTAAACTTTAATAGCTAAATTAATATCCTCTGGGTAGCTAATAGTAATTTTATTAAATTTCAAAAACACCATTGCGGTATTGCCAAAGTGCGTTATCTTTTTTAAGGGCAGCTTGACAATAGCCCTCTTATTAGAAACAATTAATTACAACACCAGTAATCACACACATACCTACGTATACCACCATACTGAGTTGCACAAAAAAGTCCAGCGTTTGGCGTTTTTCATTTGCAGCGATCATGCACGGTCGTGCAAATCTGATGTTTGATCCACGCGCTGCTTCATACAACCCTATACAAAAAGTTAAACCAAACATTTACTTAATTTTCTTGTTTTAGTGCTCTATTACCTTCTGCAAGCTTGTTACATATTTCATAAACACTGTGTATAGATTTAAAGATGTATATTTCAATCAAAAAACATTTTCGCAACAGTCCTTCACGGTTCTGATGTTCACCTCTCTGGTTTGCGTCTATCTGCAATTCGTCCTGAAAAAGTGACGCATTTATCCCAGTTTTATTAAATAAAAGTGACCGATTGTCTTTATATTACAAAATTAGAACAAGTAATATCTGCAGATAATTAATTGATATAAGTACATAGATACACGTACATTGAATCTAGTACGTTAATTACTCTTACGGTTCTATTTTTGTTTTAGCAAATCCGTGGCAGGATGGTTCCTGTGTTTGCAAGAAGCAACGACCGCCGAAGATCGGTGAGATACCGCGGTAAGTACTCTCTTCTGCTCTCTTAGCTCTCTAAAAACAAACGTTAATATAATAGTACAGTAGTTTTGTGGTGAATTAAAGAATGCGTAATAATGATTAGGAAAATTTCTTTTATGTCTATGTACATCAGAACTGTGCAAATAGTGTTGGAATCTAGTAATCAAATTAGTATTCAAATTAAATTAAATTAATTAAATTCGTTGTTTTTGGCTAAAGTTTTTAACACACATATTTCTTTATTGAACTGACAAGCGTTTTAACATAACTATATATATTGTAGCGAGCATAAGCGTGTTTGTGTGCGATCGGCACACGTGTGTGTGAGCGGCTTATCGATTCGCTGACGCCTTTGTTCATGTGCGCCGTATTTATAAATGTGCGTGTCGTACCTGCGTTCTGGGGAAGCAGTTAAACAGTTCAAAGAAAAAGAAAGTTTTCCGGACGTTTCGAGAAGGTTCTCGAAAGGAAACAAAATAGTATTTAAAGGAAGAGACGATCGTGGATGGGAAGTAGAAATAAATTGACCGTTCAGAAGTGAATCCAGAAATAAATTGACAGTGATAGCAGTGAAATAAATAGCGCAGTGAATAGTGATATATCAACAGTAGTGTAAATAAATAGAATAATTCATAACCTAAGTTTAGTAATAATTTAATAGTGTTTTTAAGTTCTTTAATAATTAATGTAAATAAATAGTTTTTGTCGTTATCAGTCTTAGAAGTTAATTTTGTTAAACCCACGAACATTACAAT